TGCTATATAAATGCAACAGATCATTAGTATTTTACAAAGACACTGGAAAATAACACAAAGATGTTTTTCAGATATTCATTGGAATTGATCTTCTGCATACAGATATAAAGACGTACTCACCCCTTGTTACACACAGCAGTAGCTACAGACCCAAGATGTGTTTTGTTTGTCACAAATCGCCCATTTTTTATCTTTCCAGGAGGGCCACACACTATTTCGGAAAATGTTGCACCTACAGAATCAAATGGTAAATGGCAAAAGTTTCAGTGATTAAGTGGTTATCTTCTGTGTTAAAAAAGGAGTATTAAAAAAAAACTTCAGAATTATAGTTAGACTCATACAATAGGTTAATCTATATGAAAACCCCTCGATCAAGGATTCCATTCCAGTCTCTGTCCCAATCATTATAATATCAACTAGCACTTACAAAAATCACAATATCAACCCACTTCTGTATCTGAGTTACTGAGCTCTTATTGAGGTAAGTTTGACATATTAGGTACTGTGGCATCAAATACTGCATCTGTTGTTCCTCCACATATTATTAGACTTGTTTCTGGTCTTCCTGCTTGGACAGCATGAAAATATATTGATTTCACCTTCCTACCCCATTTTCCTATTGTAAAACAGAATATATACAAACACATGCAAATAGATAAAGTGCAGTAAAATGATCTAGTAAGTCAAAGACAGAAAACGTACTGTGCATTTTAAGTTTGGCATACTAGATAGTGTGGCATCAAATATACATACATTCCCTGTTCCTGCCCTCCTTTTTTCTAGTCTTTGTGCTTGGACAATATAAAAGTATATTGATTTCACCTCCCTGTGCCTTTTCTTATAAAATCATCTTTCATCAAAATCAAATTTCATCTTCATGCAAATATATAAAGTGTAGTAAAATGATAAAATGATCTGGCAAGTCAAAGATGGAAAATGTATTAATTATTACCTTTGAGAGGTACACACTGAGGAATGCGAGGCGCCCAATGGTTGAACTCTCTGCAGGTGATTTTACCAGTCCCATTCAAACGAAATCCAGCGTCGCATGCAAAAGTAACCTTGTCATTATATTTATACAGGGGTCTGTGTTGACTGGTCATTCTGCCATTAGCCACAGAAGGTTGTGAACAGGTCATAGCTACAAGACCAACAGGAACAGCAAAACTCATGTAAACAGGTTGGTGAAACTTGTGTCAGTATGTCATGCAGATCTGCTGGGAACACCCCAGGTATAGATAATTCCTTGTTTTAATATAGAGCTTTTCATCCCACAGGATGCCAAAGTAATTTACATACTGTATATAAAGGTGCCCACTTCACCCACTACTGAAGTCCAGTGTCCACATGTAGGGCAGGCACTCTACACCAGAAGCTGCATTTAATTGGCCACACGATAAAATAAATCAAAATTACATTTGCGCAACCAATAGTCTAGCTGACATAATTTAAATATATAAAATGCATAGTTCTGGTTTAAAATGTGATACTGAAGAATGACTGAAAGTTTTAACTAACCGTATCAAGTATTAGATTGTTACTGAGCCCGATTTTCAGATTTTCATCTATACACATTCCAACAATGCTTTGTTACAGTATAAGCGGCTTAGTTATTTGTTTTGTTTGCAGATTTATGAATTCCACCACCTTCATTTTCTACGAAATTACCATAAGAGTTATGATTTTATGTTGTTCCAAGCATACAAGTGACAGGTGAAAAACGAGCATTAGACACCACCTCATTTAAGAAGCTTCCTAGGAAGCATAGTAGCTCAAATGAAAAGGAAATGGAAGGCTGTTGTAAACACACAAAAAACTACATGTTGTTTCAGAGTGGACACCTCCTCTATGCAATGCAACTTTTCTTACTCTTCATAGTCAATGCTTTTTGTCAGGTCTGTGCGGAAAAATGTGGTTGGACATACGCTAGAAGCCCAGTGGCATGGTTTGGTTTGAAGGCAGAAAACGGAACTTGCTTACCTCTCCTGTACAAACACTGTGGAACATAAGGTAGCCAGTGGCCATGCTCTCCACAAAGAATCTGACCTGTTCCATTCAGATGATACCCAGGATTGCAAGCAATAGAAACAATGTCTTTGTATTTATATGTTCTGCCATATCCGTGAGTCTTTCTGCCATTGGTCACATGGGGGTTTGCACACACAATCTCTGCACAAAAGAAACAAACACAGGGCATGGATCATAAACACCACATGGCGCTCGGATGCTTGAATCTGAAGACCTGCTGGAAGGGGTTACAATCCTGGGTTAAAAAAATCCAAAATGAAAACTGAGCACTTCACTTCGTACACGAATAAGTGCTGTAGCTCATTATACTACTGTGTGCAGTATGAGCCATGTAAAACTGACTAATTCTGCTGTTGTGTAATCTACATTCATAACCTACCCAAAAAAGGGGGCACATATGACTTATGAACGTCGTCAGATTTTTGTCAGCTTGAATGACGGGGGATCGTCAGGTGACAACAATGATGTTACTGGAGCAACATTACTGACTGATTTCCCTTCACAGACCTGGTGGATGTTAATGTTTATAAGTCAATTAAGAAAACATTACACTGAATTCTGCATTGTCCTGCTATTCTGGGGTTGTAACGGTCTAATTATTTGGTACCACATCTCTTAAAAAAGCAGGAATACAAACTTCACCTACTATAGTCAGCAACATCATTTATGGATTAAAATTAAAATAGCAAATTTTACCATGACCAAAGGGAAATGGTATTGTTGGGTAACGTAATTTCAGTATCAGTTTTTTTGGCCAGGTAATGAAAGAAGCTTGTGTAGAAAAACAACGAAAGGCATGAAAAAGAGATTCCTGCCTTTACACTCTGGAGGCGGGCTGCTCCAGGTCCCATTCTCAGTGCAGAAAATCTCCCTGTCCCCAATGAGCTGCCCTCTCAGACACCTGTAGCTGATCACACTGTTGAAGTCAAAGGGCCCCTGTGTCAGGCCTGCCACTTCAGCATCAGTCACCTCTGGAGGGTCGGGACATTTCACAACTGCAAAACAAGATCCAACAGTACAGCAAGAGTGGTTTTACCTTTGATTTGAATTATACAATGCAGCACTGAGCCAAAACACAGGTGCCTCTGATACTTCATCTTCACAAAAACCAAACCCACAAAACATTGGACCCAACGCATGTCTCCCACTCGAGACGCTATGACATTCAAGTGGTGATTTTAATCTCTCACAGATTTTGGATTTTATGACATGTGCTTGCTGAGGCTCCCAGGGGTCTCAGAGTGCTCAAGTCAAGCTCTGTACCCCACACAACGGTGGCTTGAGCCTGGACTACATTGTTAACTGACTGTCAATGAGGATTCCCCCAAAATGCCCACCAGGCATTGGTTGGGCTTTTCTTGCCCTAGGCATTCTTGGGGTATCAGGGTATTGGGTCTGGTGTTATTCCGCTGTTTCAGAGTAAAAGCAGTTCCTGCAGCCTGCCAGCCACCTACAAACCTGTAGTCATGTCATGGAGGTTAGAAACCCCTTTGCCATGTAGCGGAGCTAGTGTGGTGAGGTCAGCGCCCTCCCTGCGCGTAGCAGGGTCCTCAGCTGCCTGGGCTGAGGGAGGTCTCCTTTAGCTCACGCGGTTGGTTCCCTGTTGCGTTACGCCGGAGACCCGGGTTCGCACCCCAGGTGTGGGGGACGGAAAGGGCGGCAGGGTTGGCACGACCCCGCATGGAACCGTGACTGTCACATTGGTGCTGTGACTCGGGCAGGAGTGTGGAGTCTGGAGTGTCCTTTGCCTTCGCCGAGGTGAAGTTCAGCAGGGGAGGGTGTAGTGGACCTAGTGTGGTGACGTCAGCGCCCTCACTGCGTGTAGCAGGGTCCTCAGCTGCCTGGCCTGGGGGAGGTCTCCTTTAGCTCACGCGGTTGGTTCCCTGTTGTGTTACGCCGGAGACCCGGGTTTGCACCCCAGGTGTGGGGGACGGAACGGGTGGCAGGGGGCACTACCCCGCGCAGAACTGCGACGATCACAGCCACTCAGCACTAACTCTCTGCTACAGTGCTGTGGTGCTCACAGGACTCCCCGAGACTAATTGCTTTGACAGGCCTTATAAAAGAGCAAGTCCATGAGTCTTCCAGGTCCTTGTGCAGTACACGGGCTGCAACCCTAAAGCCGATTTCTTAAACAAAATTCGAAATTGGGCAGGTGTTAAAAGGACACGTCACAGTTCCAATTTTTTTTTTTAATGCACAGAGCATGCTGTACACACCAGAACAAAGATGTGAATCAGACCGGTCCAATAGCACTTCAAACCGAACAAAAAGTGGTGCGAACATGAAAGTTCATCCTTCTGTGTTGGAATTAAAAAAGACAGAAAACATGTCTACTCCTCAGATGAAATAAACTGACCTTAAAAAAGTCCAATTATACTGAATTAAATGTCCTTTCAACTTTTTTTTTAAACCTATGTGGTCATGAACATTTCAAATAGTCACACAAATTAGCTAATTGGTTTAAACCACATTTGGTGCAAACCAAAATAAAACAAGTATGATTTAGGACATAGGACAAGAACAAGACTTCACTTAATTTCAATTAAAAGTTGTATGAACCATCCTGACATCCTTACTTTCACAATGTGGAATATCCCCATCCCAGCCGGAGTCTAGACACTGCCTGTAGTTTCTTCCAACAAGATGGTACCTTGTCAAAAGCACACAAAAAAACAAAAATATCAAGTAGGTAATTCAATTATATATGGAAGACGGAGTGATTAAATGTGACTGTGCTCCTTCTGTACTACTGTATATTTCAAACAGTACTTTTAATGTTTTACCAGACACAAGAATTTATCAATCTGCCTCAACATTCTGAAATCCTGCAGTTAGGCACTTAAACGCAAGACTTTTCTTAAGCCAACACACAGAAATCAACATTTGCTTCAGATGTCCCTAGTCCTCAGCCTCTCTTAGTAAAGATGTGTCCCTTTCTGACCATGACCATGTGTTATCATCTTTGTTCAGACTAGAAAAATATATTTTCTTGATTTTATCCTTACTGTGTTGAGCATACAATTCACACCAGAAATGAGAAATTAGCAGGGTGCTCTCCTTACAAAGAGTTCAAAGCAGACAGCAACGTACCCAATATTACACTCGGCTAAAGCCTTGTGCCCAAACAGGACATCCTCATATTTAAAGCGCCCATTCAAGATTTCTCCTGCAGAGCCGCACGATTTGCCTAAATATCAAACAATAATACAAGCATACTTTACAAAATGCTTCAAAAAATATGTGGCAGAGGCGAATTGTGCCTTTGAAATGTGAAGAAAACTTTTAACTTTCTGATGCAGTTAAGATTCATTATATTGGTAAACTTAATAGTCTGCATGAGAGACAGAATGCAGAAGGGGAAATTTGTGTCAAACAATATTCTTCTGTTTCTTCTTTTACAAAGTGGTGAACCTGTAAATCTCAGTTATAAAAGTGAAAATACAATCAAAGCAGATTATGAAAGACTTTATTTTGGCACTTTTACCTAAGGAGTAAACACGATTTACAAGATTAAACTATCAGATATTAAAAAGCTGAATACACTTTACTGACGTTCACACATCATTTTGAGTGGCGTCCATTGCCCATCAACACACTGGATAGATGAAGACCCCATCAGTCGTCTATAGCCTATTATACATTTGTACGTGACTTTGGCCCCGGAGGAGTAATCCTTTCTTCTCATGTACTCTTCCAGGGGCTGTGCAGTGGGATACATCGGAGGCTGACCACAGTTTCCTGAAATATGAAAGCAATACAAAATAACGCTTACAGAATAATAAAGATCTATTTATTGTAGCGGCTTTCCGTTTTTCACGTTTTTTCATATAACAACAAAGCGCTTTGCTAAATGCGCATGTGTTAAAGGTATTTCAATTTCCCTTCTGTGCAGAGAAAAGGTGTACAGTATATGCGTTGCAGTGCTGCTGCTGTTCAAATGATTTTAAAACCCCTTTTCTACAAAAACAAAAAACTTCCAATTACTTTAAACACGCCTAAAATAAGTATTGTTTTCTTAAAGGCAAAAACTATGAATATGATGACCCATCAGGCTACAGCAACAGTCGAGTTATTTTCACATACATATTCCAGATATAGTGCCTCGCTGGAATAATTTTGTATTGAAATACGGAAAGGTGTGTTTTTACATTTTTAAAATTAGTCTCGAAGAACCTAGCAGTGCTGAAGCGCCTCTGTCCGAGAACTGCAGCTGCCACGTTTTCAATGTTTTTTTTCTTCTAAACGACACGTTCAACTGATTTGTTGTTCTGTGTTTCCTAAAATTAGTTTTTAAAGATACGGTTCTTAATTTATCATTTTATAATTTGCAGAGAAAAAATCCCCACTTTCGTATGCATTGGATTTTATTTCTTAAACCTAAGACTCTTAAAGAAAACAGTTCTATATTTAGTAAAGAATGCAGTCCGTCGTCAAAGTGTCTGAATTTTTTCCCTGACTACGTTTCTTTACTTTCCAGGCATCCTTAATACAATAAGTATATATATATTGGCCTACATGTTTTTAAGATGGAACATTGTAAATCAGTTATGTAAACAGTTATTCATTTCCTTTGAATACTGTCTTCAGATCAGTAAAGAACATACAGCGTTACTTTTTATCTTGCACGTTAGCAAAAGCAATAGCTGCCTTGGTTCTTACCTAAGACCTCGGCGATGGGAAGGAAAAGCAAAAAGACCACCTTCCCCTCGAAAAGAAGAGATTTCTGCGTCCCAGGCATTTTCGAACTCCGTCACTCGCCGCAGTTTAATCACTGAGAACTAAAGATTAATCCTTGCATTAACAGCCAAATGGCAATGTGTTTTTTCTCCTCTAAATTCAGTTAATGTATATAAGACGCCTAGCCAAAGAAATAGCCTGCAAAATGTTATTATTAGAGGCACCCTGTGAATACCACTAATGTTTTATCAGTTTAAAAGATTCACTGAACGAACTCGTGTCAATTTTATAGCGCACTAGAGTTGAGTAATCAGGACATCTCAGAAATGTTATTACGTTTTGTTTCCTGCCCCCCCTTCCTACTAAGTCCACATTGCGTAGGTCTGCCTTAATTAAATAATATATGAACGTATTGAACCACCATGAGTAAGACTAAATAAAAAATTAATTATGCTTCGGATTTTCGACACTTACCGCTGTTATACATGTATGAAACAAGTATAGACGTTTGCAACAGCTACAGCGCTTCGCTCTCATGAATTGTTGCAGATAAATACGTTCTTTAGGAGGGCAAAGGAAAGGAAGACCTCGACGTTTGATTATACCGAGCATTAAAGACAACTTAATCACTTGAATGGTGAAAATGAAGAAAGAACAGCTAACACAGGAACCCTGTTACTAAGAGCACAATGCGTTCGTGCCATTGCTATGCTGGTCCTGGAGACTACGAATCACACAGCACACTAGTTCAATAGAGAGGTACAGTATGAGTGAGATGGTCTGGACAATAGTGTGAAATCGCTACAGACCGTATGGTGCTACACTAATCAAATTCTGGAAATTCATTTGCTGCTGCCCGGACTGTAAAACCTGTTCAGTAAAATTTCAGTTCACCTGGTACAAATACAATTGCCATTTCCTGGATTATATAGCTTTCTATTTATTTTAATACTCTGTTGATATATTATAGATCAATACTAATTACTACAGTACTTCAGTGTTTACCACATTTAATTAGTAATACTACAGTATTCACTCTTTCCACCCACTCGCAAATTATAGTATGTAAACCAGTTTTCATTGACAAGATTGACATTTAATTTTCCAGTTAAACTGACACATGCAGTCCATGACCGGAAATCCTTCTAGTCGTGCACACCCTTTGCATGGATGTGATAGAAAGAATCCTACAGGTTTTCAATAGCTGGAAAAGAGATCACAAAATTTACCCATTCGTTACTTCGAAAGGAGAATAGACAAGCTGACCAAGTGAGCTGAATCAGTACTTGACTAGCCTTGTGCAAGCCCTTACTTCATTACATGGGGATTTAAGAACACATCTGAGCTTACTTGTCTAGGTATTTAGTAAATGTATATAGTTATACATTTATATAGTTACTGTAGGTATATAGTTAGGAGTCATAAAGTCCTTAAGGTGCAAAGCCACTCTTTAATGGAATTTGTTTGTTCATTGAGGCTGACGTTAAATAAAAGGCATTGATGTTTCAGGATCCCATGGTACTAATTAGTTCAATTTAATAATTAATTCCATTTATAGTTTCAGTAAGAAAAGATCCAAAAGCACTTTACATATACAGTGCTACACTGCAGAAGTGAGATTGCTGCACCTGTTGATTTAAGGAAGGGCATTAGGTAAGCCGGATTGTTCAAGTAGAATGGAAATGAACTAAAACATCAGGGATTTTTTATCCCTGTTTTCCTAGTTACAGCAGCCTTACTGATGACATCATGGTAATGTGGAACAATTCATGTTGCATGTCTACAATAACATGTTCCGTGTGTTCAATGTTACGTTGTCTGTAAAAGCACTGTTGTCCAGTGCAACTCCTTGCATGCTTAAGCTTTATAGTAGGGGTGCTGTACAATGGCTGAATTAGCTGTACAATGCGCTTTGACCTCAAGCTTCTCTTCCTGTCTGTGTGTGTCTATGTCTCATGGAGAGCAAGCTGGGGTATGCGAAAAGACAAATTCTTAATGCAAGAAACTGTATAGGGCTAATAAAGCAACATTATTATGTAATATTAGTAATAATATTTTTATACTGTTTTGGCAGCTGAAAAGTCTAGGCTGAGATGGGAAAGAACAAAGTACTCTTGATTATTATTAAAATAAACCCTGAACATATTTCAATACATTAGGATATAAACTAGAAGAGACTGTTTGACCCATTTTTCTTCCTGGGCTGTTAGTAACATGATGGTGCAAGAGTCCAGTCATACATTTCCCTAAATGACTGAAATCCCAATTTCGAAGGCTATGTGTTGTCACACCTAACATTAATCTGAACCCTGTATCTTTCTGGAAATACTGTATAAAGAAAACCATCATCCAGTTTGGAAGCAATGCTCAATGGCCAAAATATTAGACACCCAAAGTCAAATGATCTGCCCCTATCACTAGCAGGCAACCCATATTGGACGTAAGGGCATGAAACAGACTTTATCACCATTCCTGGCCAGACAAATGACCATATCCCCGTCTTCTTGAACTCTGCTGGAATATAAAATGTGCATTTTAGTCACAGACACTCTTACTTTTATCTCTGTCTCTGTCTACCACAGGTATCCTTAACCCTGGGGAGCAACAGTCCAGCTTTTACAAGTAGGTTTAATCAAGAAAGTGTATTAGGTTTTCAAAATTAGGTAACTGATCAAATTAAGGCATTATGAGCTGCACCAGAAATATGAACACCAGAAAAACCATCATAGTATGAGGACTTCAGACCCCTATGTTAAAGCATGGGTTCCCTATTAAGACCTGAGTATCCACAAACTGCAAATTTTTGCTCCTCTATTAAAATAATGGAATCCTAAATAAATCTTAATAGGTCTAATTAGACACTGTTTAATTGTTTTTCAGTCCCTTTAGGAAGTTACCTTTTGACTAATGCACTTCTTTAGTAACTTAAAAACTCCAACATCTGAATAGAAAAAAAAAAAACTTGCCAAGATTCTAACCAAGCAACTTGTTTGTTCCATTAAGAATTCATGTAAAGTGTTCAGCTGCAATGGAAACCAGCAGGTGTTTGGGTCCCCAAGACTAGGATTATGGACCCCTGTGCTAGAGAAAGGGGATTGGATAGGGCTGGACACATTTCAGGGGCTAGAGGAATGCATGCCACATCCTCTGCAAGCTTCCTAACACTTTGATCAATGGATTTATATGTCAGTACACAAACTGTATAAACCTATTGGCATATAAACCAATTGATTATCCAGTATCACGTCTACATTGCTATAGTGCCTGGGTGTCCTCTGTGTGAACCAGGGCTGGTGGCCCTGCAGATGAATCCCAGGAACCTCTTCAGAGAAAGTATGAGCTATGCTGATAAGAGTTTCCAGTACACTGACATATGCCACTTCTGACCCATGTTTTCAATAATTACTTTCCACACACCTCAAACCATCCAGAAGGATTTTAATGGAATGCCATATATTTCTAGAATGTAATCTTCCTTAAATTGTTTTGTAATATTTTTGTAATAGCAGCCTTTGAGATGAATAACATTATGCAGGAAGTGCAGAAAAACATAAAATAGACTGAATTAAATCAATATATACTGCTTATGTAACATAAGTAAAAAATTTCTAATGGAAATATTTCTGCAGCAAGCACAGTACAGATCTGAAAGACCCAGGACTGAACTGTGCCAAATATGTTTTCTCACATCATGACCACACGCCTCTATTTCTTGAAAATGTTCATTTATAAAATGCTCTTACATAAATAATTACAAATGAAATGGCCACATAGAAAAACAATGATACCGAACAAAGCTGCCAAGAAGTGACCAAGGAAAAGGAAGGATACCACTCACTAATAAAACACTTAAAAGGAAAACCATGATAAAATACCATAAATCATAAAAATAAGTCAAATTCCTTTCAGATTAAAAGATCTCTTTCCCTTGGTAAACATTGCCTTGTCTAAAGTCACGGACAAATGCAATGACACCCTTATTTGAAACATTACTTACTAATAAAGTCTGTTCAGTAAAGACTGCTCATTCCACTATGATTGTTTATCACTGATATGTTTACAAAGCAGAATCATCCTGATGAGTAGCAGTCACAGTAAGCTGCTTGGATCACAGGTAGTTTGCCAATAATCCACAGAGAGCTGTGGAGTGGCAGACTCATGTCTGAACACTCTTTTAATTCATTAATTCAAGATATAACTGATAAATACATGTATTTCAGAAAACAGTTATTAAACATAATGAATTAGTTTTGTCAAGTTTTGTCTGAGAGTGCTTGTGCTTGTATTTTTATAGAAAATTTCCCCATGATAAACCCAGGACACAGCTGTAAGCTATTAACACCAAGAGCTCATATTTACCAGAAACAATGAAGAGATACTGAGTTCTGGACTTCAATACGGTATTTTAAACTGGAGGAGTAAAATTGGCCTTACTTTAGTAGTGTGGTCAAGTCAAAACAAGTCTATTAAAAACAAACTTAGAAATAGGGATCACATAGAAAAACAACCAGCCTTCTGTGAAGTAGTCTGGGGGTATAATAAGACAACTCCCTCACAGGAAATAAAGACTTTCTGTCTGTGTATACACAGTGAGAATGACTCTCCATGCATTTCTCAATCAATAATAGCCTTTGTTATATACTCTGTGATAGAGATGTGAAAAGCACAGTCACAGTCATTCGATGGTTCCGTCTGTTCGAATTTTAGAGTGCACAATGGAAAATATAATATTCAAAACACAGCTGCACAAACACTTCCATTTATCAACTGGCTTCCCATTTCTTAAGGCTTTCTTGCCAAGAATCAACAACATTTCTGTATAAAACAGAACGCTGAAGATTTGAAAGGCATAAAAAGTACAAAACGGCAATGAGAAATATTGTTTTGCAATTACATACTGCAGCAAACTGCAACTGCCCAAAAATACTTAGCAGAAAACATGTTTAATAGCAACACACTAATTAGTGGCTTAATAAATGACAGTCTAGTGTACACCTAAAAACACAGTCACAGTAAAGGAATGTAGGCTGAACTTTGCCATGAAAAGCTGAGAAGTGGTTTTGTTTTCTTCTAATTAAAATTGTTTTGAGGAACAAAGCCTTCAAATTCAAATGTAACAAACACAAAGAAAGGTCATAATATCTGGAAAATGAAACAATGAGTTCTGAGATGGCGCCTCCAATACAGTTATGTCTTCCATTTTTTGTACAAGGATGTTTTGACTACTTGACTGAGTTAATTTACCACTAAAATTATATTTAAAAAAGTTTTAATTTATTCGTTGACCTGAATCAACAAGCCTAAACACAAAACCTATTTCAAATTTAAAAGTGCCAAACTCCATGAAAAATGATCTACAGTACATAGAAGTGTGCACATACGCTGTTGTGATGCGGATATATTATCTTCCACAATCCTGCTGAAAAGCCTTCTGAAAGTTGAATTCTTTAAAATGACACAAAACACTCTTATTAACATCTTTTAAAAAATCTTTTAATAAGAAAAGATGACAGATCCACTCATGACAACTATTTGACGTAAGTGCTTCATAAACAGAATTACACCAGAGCTACAGAGTTGTGTAAAGCAGATATGTACTGTATGGAAAATAGTGTTCTTTCAATATATGGCTCATCATATTTATATTGTAATATCATGTCACAGATTCACTTGGCATAGTTACAATATGTCTGAGAGGAAATGTACTGTTCTGTTTCCTGCACTGTCATTCACTGCGTGAAGAACTGTGTCACAACGGAAGCTTGTGCTCTTGTACCAAAGTATTGAATGTTTCACTGGAGCTACTCATGCTGTCCAAGCTAGAAAAAGCAGGCAAGAATGTTATATGCAAAGGAACAAGTAATAGGTTTATTCCATGCTGAAAAAAAGAAGAAAGAGAACACAACGTTTCGGCCGTGGAGCCTTCTTCAGGTGTCAGCTGTCTTCAGGTGACACCTGAAGAAGGCTCCACGGACGAAACGTTGTGTTCTCTTTCTTCTTTTTTTCAGCATGGAATAAACCTATTACTTGTTCCTTTGCAGCCTACGCATGCTGACGCAGCTACCCACAGGAATGTTATATGTCACATGTTTCCCTGAGTACTGTAAAATAGCAGCAGACTCGGCCTTTCCCCCAGCATGCAGTGCTATGGAAAAGACAACACTGGTGATCTGCTGAAGACAACAGCAGACCTGGATAAATTATTTCAGACAATCTTACTAAGCTGCTGATGGTTAAAAAATACAACAGGAAGTGTGATGCAGGCTACAAGGAGCTACTCAATAAAGTGGACAGATGACAGATTTTACATGTCCAGAGAAGACTAGGGAATTGTGAAAATGTAGTTCTGTAGGTCAAATAAACCACTGTTAGCCACCACTATTAGGAATATTTTCCAAAATTTTGGTTGGTTTGAAATAATCACAGGATTTTCTAGTAATGGCATTCACATTCAAAGATATTTTTTCCACAGGAATGTAACTAAACTGCAGCTCATTAAGAACATAAACCTCAATCAAGGTCATCCCTTCTTTCCACATAAGAATAAATTTTGTTTTGTTACTTGCTTGTTAACGTGTCTTTGGGACATTACACATATGACACTTGTCTTTTATAGAGCCTGCCACCACCTGCTCCTCTGCACCATGCCCTTGCACACACTTGTACTGAAGAAATATGCCCAAGATGTGCCAGTCATTTATCTCTCTTCCATTATCTTTGTGAACTCGGGCACAGTCTGTAGTGCTTCTTCTTGAGTCCGGGTGACATTTGTGTTCTGAAATAGACAAATGAGAAATGTCAAGCTAGAAAAGAAGTATTATTTCATATGCAGTAAAACACATATTGAAACCTTTTTTATTCTTTTCTGTACACAACACACATCAGTATAGCCGCTCAATTACCCGACCTGGCAGGTACCGATAATCTTTCATATGACCCACCACAAGACCCATTCAGTTACTTCAAACTTTCAACTTCGCTTACAAACGTGCGAGAGCTCTTTGAACACACTACAAGAGTGATGGATACACAGAGCAATATGGTGTATTTGGATTTTCAGAAGGCTGTTGATAAATGATTCATGCTCAAAACACAGCCAGCAGGCATTTGAGAAAAACAAGCATTTTGGATTGAGAATTGGTTTATAGATAAGAAATAAGAAAGAATACAGACAAAGGGTGACTGCTCACAGTAGGGTGTTGCAATTAGTGGAGTACTTCTGTGATGTGTACTTGGACCACTGTTGTTCTTAGTTTATTCCAATGATTTTTAGATTGGTTTAAATGGTTTCAACGATTAGAGATTGGTAGAATTAATTTAGCAGTTAGATTTGTACACAACACCAAAATAGAAGGATTAATAAGACACTGTTGAGGTACAAAATGGGAAAACTCTGAGCTTGAAGAGACGTGACATTAGATGTTTATGCTCATATTTATAACCTGTAGAGAGTGTGTGCATGCAATAAAAAGGCAATCAAAAGGTTATATATATATATTGTAACGCTTCGGGGTTCTTGTGGGCGCCCTCGCCGCTGCCGCATCAGGTCGGCCCACCACCATCGGGGACTCGAACCCGGGATTCCAGCGTCACTCAACAGGGACCCAGGCTCTTGAGCCAAAGGGAAATCTCCCGTCACCTATTCACAGGGAAGGGCGGTGACGTCACCGCTCTGGTAAGCCAGCTCTCGCAAGCAATGGAGGCCGTATGCGTTACAACACATATGATAGGTTATACAGTTAAAAGTATAGCATTTAAGTCAAAGGATGTTAAGTTATGCATGAAGTAAGGCGTCATTTGGAATACTAGGCATAACTTTGGTCACCTTGTTGCTTATCAATATACTGTGCTCTGGAATGAGTTTAGAAAAGAGCACCCAGCTGCATCCTTAAGCTAAAGGAACCAAATCTTGTTCAAGACCAAAAAAAGCAAACTATGAGGGGACTAGACTGAAATATGCAAAATCCTCAATAACACTGATAAGTCAACCAAGTGGACTCCTTGAGTATCAACAGCAAAATGTAAACTAGAGATAAGTGGAAAACGGGTGGAAATGTATTTAAATCTGACAGTACTACTTTACAGGGGATTTTGGAAATATGGAAACAAATATAGGATTTCCAGTTCATTAACACATTCATAACAAAGCAATCCATTTTCTAAAATGTTTCACATAGCCATATTGCTTTTCAGGTTACAATGGAGCTGGGACATGGACCAATAGTGCTTACAGGAAGCAATCACGAATTCTACAAAGAAATACAACAGCACACCAAAATAACTTTGAAGATAAAAATCCCATCACAAAAGAGACCAGCTTGGAAATCTTGGGAGATCTTTTTAAACAAACTATAATGAATGTTGCTTAAGGACTGCCTCACATTAGTATAGGTCCAGCCTGAATCCACCAAACAAAATTACAGAACAACTTCTGCACATCAGGAAAGAAACTAGACAATAACACACTAAATGTCAGATTGTCTGAACATGCATTGTGTAACCAGATTCCCATTTAAAGAATCGAAAAAAGGAAGAAAAAAAATCTAGATGCACAGCAGGCCCTGCACATTTCTATAACCAAGGACATAGCTTGTGCTGTTATGGTAAGAAGTTGTGGAGTGACGGGGCAGGTCACTTCTGTTCTGAAGAACTGTTCACTTGTCCTGGAATTAAAGGGTGGTAAATTTGGGATTGTAAACACAAACAAGAATCCAAACAGCACTAAAATGGTAAGGCATGGTAGATTCCATATTTTAAGGTGGATGAAGGAAGATCAAAACAAAGCTAGAATAAATGGCTACACACTTAACATTTAACACTTTATTGGATTATGTGTTACATCAGAGCACATTGTAGCAATAATGTGAACGTACTACAAGGCAACATCTGAAATGATCCCATTGCTGAATATGGAGAACAATCAGAAGCAGAGCAAACTAGGAGGTTAAGACTGGCCGTTAGAATGTTAGATGCTGAACCAGGTGATTCCTCCCTTAACACATCTAAATTGTCCTAGCATGACTGCATATTCATTAGGGCACTCCCGTGAGTGCTTGGTTTACCATAGGTCATCAAGAACAAAATGTATTTCCTTGTACTTTCTGTAATTTTCACAACATGTACAGTTTGTAATTTGTTTAATGTGAATTTGTAAAAAGAAGTCTGAACCGTACAAACACGTGCAGTCTTCAGTAATAGATACACTGCACAATCTGCTAACAAGATTACTGATTATGTCCAACTATATGGCAACAGAAATAACTCCTTTTCATCCTGGGAAGCAGAAAAAAAGCCTCCTGGAAGTTTAATGTGATGGGAACACAATTGCTTGCAAAGTAAAAAAAAAATCACTTTTTTATTTCAGCAAGTGGCAAAAAATACATCCAATGCTGTCCCCAGGATGATATACTAAAAAGGCATACAAGTGGAATATCATCTATACAGGCATCCTTCTAGATGCGACCGTTAGGAGGATCTTTTCATCTGCTTCGAAGGCACAGATACTTAGACACATCAGCTTTAGAATAACAAATGATTTCATTTTGTAAAATTTGTGTTCAAGCACCGTTTAGAATCACAAAAATAGGACCCTTAATGTGCGTTTTCCCAGCATTTGACAAGAGAGATTAAATGTCAAAATAGCCATAAAAACCTTAGGATAAATACTAAAAAAACAGCAATATTCAGAGTATTTTAGCAAGTACTGTAAATGCCAAAATAGACTTGCCAACAATTATATTCGTGCATTCCAAAGTTTCAAGGATATTTGGATATTTCACTTAAAATATCTTAATTTGTGAAGTACAAACTCTGTCTAGTGATTCGTTTGAGGCTAACCCCCCCAAAAAAATTATGATGAAGTAGCATAAAAACAAATCATAATGTATGGGACTCCTGGCATCATTCACATTATGGGTCCAGTGTTTAATCAGTCATTTAAAATCAAAAGAAAAAGACAATACAATTCTATAACCACCAGTCTGTGGCAGGATTTAAACATCACTATGTAAAGCCAAGTACTCCTCATTCCCAGATGCTTTCTAGACAGAGGGGAAATCCTGCGACATCCGATTCTCAAACAGTACTACTCAAGTACACTGTTGCTGATGAGCAAGGGATCTTCTGAAGTTTTAGGAGTGTGGTTCTGAAGCCAAAATCGGGTGTTAAAAATATAATCATGGTCTTGTTAATATGCTAAGAAGTCTTTAAAATCCTCGTTGGTATTGTATCCAACACTCATGTATGCATTTGTTGTATTTTAGCACTTCTCCGTAAGATTTAAGCAGTTTATGAAGACTACATTGTTTAGCAAAAGAGCTTGAATGGAGGCCACTGGCTGGTCAAGATGGGTACCGGTGTGGTCACTCTGTAGGGTGAGCACCAACTGTTTTTACAGGACACAGCAGTGCATGCTACAGAAAAGTGAGATACCACTGAGAACAGTCAAGCACTTATACTTGTGAGCAATAAAACCTTAATTTTCTCTGAATAAATCATCTAAATATATTAAATCTGATTGCACATCCCTTTGCAGGACAATCTGCATTGAATTGTCAAGGTTTTTTTCCCTGCCAGCACATGAGCATGTGTTCAGGACACATTTGCCCGTATTACCGTACATTCATTCACAGACAGTGTCAATGGTAACAATCGAGTGACTTAAAATAACATTCATTTAAAACTAAACACAACCCCCAAATTCCAAGAAATGGTAAAGCACAAAACCAGTGGAAATAATACTATTGTCTGAAGCTTTAATACATTATTTAAGTCAAGATATGTTCCTTATTGAAACATACAGTAAGTAAAGGTTGATTTTGGCCTAATTATTAAAACTTCACATTCAACAAAATCTTTAAAAGCAGTTTGTATGAACATACAGTACCAACATTCAAATTGATAAGGTATAGATTACTCTTTTCTAGATTACTAAGGAATAGCGAATTGTCACAAACTCATGCAAATGGGTCATAAATCCATTTTGTGCGATACTGCATCACAGTTTGTCTAAGAAAGCAACAAGTTTAAGCCTTATGTTTATAATCAAAAACAATATAAAACAGAATAAAAATAAGAGAATTTGTAGCTTTAGAGTCTTCAATCACTTACTCTAAAATTGAATTTTTGGGTGAATAGTTTAGTTTAAATTGTTGCTTGAATAATATTTATAGAAGAATAGGCCTTTTTTCCACTTTGATTGTATTAATGCCCAATCCCAAACCAAATTATGGTCTATCTTAACTGTCATATTCTTCTTCAAGAACAAACAAGATTAGTCAGTTAACCAGGGTTATAATTGTATAAAAGAGGAACTACTGACAGGAAACACCTGACAAATCTAAAATCACTTCATGAAGCTAAAGATACAAAATAAAAAAAAACACACATTCTGTGCTTCCTTCCTTAATATTACATTTGCATGAATTTTCCATCATCACTTTTTAAAAGGTCAACGGTTGACAAAATAAAAATAAAGAACGTAACAAGCAACATTTGACGGCATGCCCATTTCACTTTGAAGTAAGGGCAGGGTCAAACTTCGCTACCAATTTGTCTCTAAGCATTTCTGAGGAGAATGCGGTGTCGGTCTCTACAGGGACGATACGCATTGTGTCATGTCCTTCTACACCAGCACAGAGAGGAGGAGCGAGATGAAGCTAGGCAGAAAAGCAGGAGATTCCAGGGTTGACAAGAGAGCATCTCCCTATTCAGAGCCCGACACAGTCACCAGCATCTCTGGAGCTGTCATACTGGAGCGAGGCCTTCAAGACAAAAACACAAACAGCTTCCTTCCATTGTCTGCGGCAAGGAAAACCTTTCATTTACCAATCCATGCTTAAGAGGATGATCAGACCTAGTTAACCATTACTCCTCAATGTTCTAGGAGATGGTGTACTGGGAGAAGATGAGTGTGTAACTTGTTTCCAGTTATTTCTTGGGCTCTGTGCATACACAGATTTATATGGTTACATGTCAACTAGCTTTCAAATCATTTTGGAAAACCGCTTTGTTAAACTGCAATGGAATGGAATGATTTGTAAAACAAATCACTTGATATACTATACATAACTCACATTGTATTGTGCGGACTCTTATTTAAATGTAAGGAATTTTAAGTACTATAGAAGATGTGCTATATTTACACTAATATTATTCCCACTGAGTAGAGGGTATACAGTAAATTCTAAAGCTGTACAAATGGATGTACAATTTAAATTCTTACTGCACAAATAGTGCAAAATCAATCATTCGTACTGGACTTAAAAGTACTGGTACGATTATTCGTACACGTGACAGTGAATGGAGTCTTTGATTTTAGCGGGAAATAAATACACTATATAAGATTCTGGCAAGATATAGCCACCATAATAGGGCACAGGTGTGAAGAGAAACAAATTAATAACTAATGTGTTCCTCTGTTACGAAATGGGGACTTAAAAATATTAAATTCTCCTTACTAAAACCAAGTTTTTTTGACTGCCCAGGAATAAACCTTCCACGACACTGAAATGTTTCAATTGCATCTGGGTGCTTAGCAGCGTAAGCCAGAGAGAGCTGGAAAGATACTCACATGCAGGCGCTTCCTGCACGGGGCTGTGGAGAGAGAGGGAGAAAAGGAGAAAAGAGAGAGAAAGACAGAGAGAGATGGAGAGGAAAGATGAAGCCCATTTACTTTCATCAGCAGAGCCAAGCACACACAGGGTGACAGAGAAAGAGAAGTTGTAGAATATGATAAAATAGTAAAAGACCTAAATCCTCTGCAATATCAGGCTCTTTAGTTATTCAAATTCTGATGCATATTAGGTGCTGCACTTCAGTAGTGCATAGAGTGGATCCCTTCCTACAGTGTATGAAAAACAAGATGGGATCCTTTGGGATGAAAAGAGCTGTATCAGTTGTGATACGTTCTCTGAATATGTAGAACATTTGCTTTTTTTTTCCCTTCACAGATTATGATATCATCTAGCTCCACATTATTATTATCAGTATATTTGGGAAAGAGCTTTTCAACTGAAATACAAGGCTAAGACTAAGATTCATGAAACAGTTCAGTCCACATGTATTACTGTACTTTAACAGATTTCTCCATTTACATTTTGACATTTTCCCTCCAGATTGTTTTTTGCACACATTGCAGTAAATAAGATAAAAATGCAATAAAAATATTCAACTTGACATGTCTAAATATGCATAAAAAACGGGAAGAATGGCCTGCTCTAACTCATTCTAAACAGGCTCCTGAGTCATTCAGGCTAGTGAAGTATAGTCAGGGAACAACTCAGTGTATTGCAGCAGAGCGTAAGAGCTAATAAACCAAAAGATGAGCAAGAAAAGCAAAAAGGGGTCACATGACTGGGGGAAAAAAAGTCAGGAGAGCAGAACACATTGCTGTAAAAACCGGCAATGGTACAAATCCACACACAAAATGCAAAGAGTTTTTTTGCAGAAGCTGATGGAGGATTGATTCAATTTGATGGGCACTGCGAGGTAGAGAACGCAGGGGCTTAGGGGTGATTATCGAGGCTTAATCAAGGTGATTGCCATTTAACACAGTGCTGACACTAACTTGGCTTTGCTCCAGCACTGCCCCCTCTGGCGCCTCGTGGAATTGCAAGGCCTTCGGGGAGGGGGCGAGGGGTAGCCAGGGCCTGTTGCCGGCACTGTAGAGACGAGGGCGCTTGACCTGGTCGGGACTGGCCAGGGGGGTATAGCTATTCCGTCGAAGCAGGACGGCAGCAGGATTCTTCTGGATTTTGTCCTGATCGGAGACGGGGAGAAACCAGGAGCATTAAAATGCACACAAAACAGGCACAACAGCACTGCACGGGGACCCAGGTACACTGCTATTGAACACCGAGTGTTCTTGGCGGAACAGGATACGGCTTTTCCTGTACCTTCCAGCTACTACAAGCCTGGCAGTGCCAATGGAACAGCAGGGATAGCAATGAGATTGTCAGCGCATAGCAGTTTAAACCATTCCAGCTTCTGCTATAACCCCAGGAGAGATCTGGGATGTTTCCCCAATATAACGGAGTTGAACAGCCAGGCTGCAGACTCTCTCGTGCGTCAGGTGACACACTGAGCAGATCTGAACTCGTGCTAACAGCTACACTACAGGAAATGGAGAGACGGATGTAACGGTACAAACAGAATGGCTGGAATGGCTAAACTGGGCATTTCCACTTTAAATGAAAAACCAGTCAAAAGCCTTCTGAAAGGAAGAATGCTGTCATTCAAATGGGCCAGTCCCCTGAACAAAACATGCTGTGTCAAATTGCACAGCAAAGCAATTGAGATGTCCACTGATTTTGATTGCTGTTTAAAGAAGAGTTGTACATGTTCCTCAATTACCCAGAGAAGAAAAACTGATAAAACAATGATCACCTTTCATTTATTCTATTCACTGTAATATACTGTATATTACGGTATGTTAGAGGAAAAAAAAGCATGGAAATAATAAATCACTACAAAAACAAGTCAGTGTTCCCTTCACAGAAACCTGGTAGCATTGCGAAATGAAAGTGGGTGGCTGCTTTAGTCAGGTCTCTGAGGAATACAGAAAGCAAGCTGTAAAGACAGGTACACAATGTCTCGACAGCAAGACATGGAGTTTTAGGTTGTGTACTTAAAAACACAACCTGTACCTGTAAATTAAAAGGCACTATTTAAACTTGAATTCAGTACTAGCTTCTACAAAATAATTATAAAGTACAGTATTTGAATACAAAATGTCTACAAATAATGAACAAATGAACCAAAGGCCAACCCCAAGAAATTAAACCAAGATTGGACCATTTCTTTTTCATTGTTTTTTTTCCAAAGCAGGGGTTTGGTAAAGTAATGACCGACTTTTATAAAGATTTAGCAGTGTTATAACCGTGGGACACTCTTGTAAACTTTTTAAAGGAACGTTTCTGCTCCTACACAGAAAAACTAGGGAGCATACACAAATCTGACACTCTTTACCATCGTAACTGCCGTTTTCTTTTTTTCCTGAAAATGAAAAGACGGCTCCTGTTGTACAAATCAAAAGAAACATTGAAAAAAATATACAAAGACTAATAACCAAAAAACATATAAGACTTTGGTTACATAGTGCATAATGAGTTACAGAGTGCTGGCTGATACAATGATTAATATTCAAATGTTAGTGACTTCCTCATTGCCTCCTCATAAAATATTTGCATTTGCTGAGTTTTCCATGTTTCCAGACCCACTGATTGATTTTGCTAATGTGCTCTGTATATAAGGAGCTGGTTCTCCCACAGTATGAACACCACAGGTAAGTGAAGAGATGTCTTCAGGGCTTGCATGCCCAGAGCTCCAGCATTGTGAGGCTGGAAACGCTAACCATTAAACCACTGTGCCACCCCAAGCCCTAATGTGCCACTTCAAGTGTATCTCATTAATCTCAGAAACGGCTGAACCAATGAAGGCGCTTGCTAAAGTGACGATCTGAGCCTGAGTTGTGGACCTAATAGACTTTGGCCAGGGTTTCCCCAAATGGTGACACACAATTGGCTACTGTGGATATGGAGGGATTATTTGGCCTCCTCTATTAGCAACACAGTGACCCCTGTGGTCTCCCAGTGCCTGTGTGTTCAATGTACTGCTAGTGAGGGACACTTCTCTCCTCCAATTAGCTTTGAACCTCTGGTATGGGGCTGTGTTGTCTGTTTGGTGTTAAAAAATGAGAGATGAAGGTGAGTCTGTCTACACTTCCTCACTCTTCCCCGTGTGCGGTTGCAGGGTTTGTAACCACGAGCCAACATGTTAGAGATTGTAAATCAAGTGGATATAACAAAAAAACAAAAATGGTAATAAAAGTATTTCATGAATAAAAGTCCAGGTGTCACTGTGCAAGATTCTGTAATATTTGATCTGAAATTCAGGAAATGTTAGGGTTGAGATCACAAAACCTATTTCTGTGGTTTAGAGGCCTGTGTATTTACAGTAATTATGGACAGGAAAAAAATAAACCTATTCTAGTCACCAAGAAAGTACTTTGGTCCTGTACAAAGTTCTAGTATTTGATATAGTTCTAATGCTTATTTGTTTGATTACTGTGCTTTTAAATTTCTTAGCAGATGAGTGGAGGCCCAAGTAGAGTGTTTTGTTTTTAGACACTAAAATGGTTTTCAGTATTTGATTTAAATTACCAATTTTGTAGTTTTATGGCTGTAAAAATCTGTAGTTCAGTCACTGCATCTGTGCATCTCTTTTTATAGTTAGAATGTAAAGTTTTATCATCATTTGGCAGTTAGGTTTTGTTTTTTAAAATCTAAGCTTTTACTTTGGATGTTATCTTTTTATGATGCCCATTTCGCCTGGAATGTCATGTTTTGATGTAGCCTTGCAGTGCTTTTGGACACATCGTTAAGGAAAATCACCAATCCCAGCTGTAGGTTACCACCATCATAACTCCTGGATATTACAGAGGCGTCAAATTCAGATTTAAATGCCCAGGGCCAGACACCATTTGCTTAGTGGATAAATAATATATCAACAAAGATGTTCAAGAATCTGGACTTACCAGAGGCTTCTCACGGTGAGTGTTCACTGCTTCCACATTCAAGTAAAACATTTCAACTTTACAGCCTGAGACGACAACAACAACAAAAAACATTAAAAAAAAACAGTACTTACGAAAAAAGCACATTTTCACCAAACAACTGAAAGAGAATCCTTACTTTTTCTGCGCAGAGCAGTGTGGCAAGCTACCAGCTGAGGAGAGGCAGCCTACAGCAGAGCCAGCTGGGTGAGGCTTTAACACTGTGGCTCAGGTAGTCTGGTCTTGTTCATAACCTTATGCTCTTATCACAGTACTTTAGTTCATCCAGAATAGAACGACAATTCAACAGAAAAGCATGATAAGCTAGCAAAGAAAAGTAGACGGAACTACCGTCTATTGTACAATAGCACAACAGAGCCAAGGTATCTGCAATAGTACTAAGAAATTTCCACAGATATTAACCAGCTTAATTTGGACAACTGTTTTATTTTACTTTTGTCCTCCCCCCCTCCACAGGCATGATTTTTATGGATGTAATGCAGCTCGCACACTGATAACCCAACGTCTTGATCTTTCTAAACTCCTCTTAAGAGGATTACTTAAAGTAGTTAAGTAAGTAGTTTTTTTCTCATCTAATGCATATCTATCTCTTATTTGTTGATTGGTTCATGTTGTGACAATTTTGTGTATTGTGTTTTGGCTGTTACTTGCCTGCAAAGCACATTTCCCATCTGGGACAACACAGGAAGTAAGCAGGGCAAGCTAGCAGACCATGACACCAAGCAAGCTCATTCATTAGAAAGGGATGGCGAACCAGAGAAAAAGGGCAGCCTGATCTAAGAGCACGCTGGCAAAAGAGGGTGATAAACTGTCAGAAGGGCACAGTAATGCGAAAGCATGTCCGTTCTTCTAGGACAAGAGGGTACGATGGTTCACACGGAGTCCAGCTGGGACATCTTACCATAGGCAACAGGTGACAATTTGAGAACGGTGTGAAGAGGACACCTGAGGTAAGGCAGGTCATCTGAAAACCGTTTGACAAAGTGTTAATAAAAAGACTGGCCATCAATAGACACTATCGCACATAAAAACACTGTAGTAACTGATGTTATCTCTGTACCAGGATTCCTTTGCTAGTTCCTGCAAGATGAGAGCACTGTTTTGTTTTTCCATCTACAGTTCTAATAGTTAAATTATTTTATTTTTTGTTTTTTGTGTTTGGCCAGGGAAACAAATCACTGCGTGTGCATAATTGTAATATGTCATTTATAGCTCAACCACTTTCATAAGAGGATTATTTTATTTATGGTGTGCATATGGAAACAGTCTGTGTGACCACTGAGTTCTGGGTCTGGGAGGAGTTTCTCGTTCAATGACGACCTGTAATAGGGGAATTTCTGAGTCACCACGTGGGCTGTAAATTGAAGATTACAAGAAGTAAGGAAAACCAAGGAGCAGCCCACATTCTGCTGATGGACAACAGCCTGTTAAGTCCTTTTGCTCACAAGCTATAACAATAACTAAATGACAGGACTAAAAGTACTGTATATAACCTCAATTTCAAGGAAAACAAAAAAAGCTATATGGAGAACGTGCACAGAGACCAAGAGAATGAATATAACAAAGCAGGGTTTGTTGAATCATTTAGACCCAGCTTTATAAATGGTTGAAAATGTTAAGTCATTTTGAAGAAAAGGGTCAGCCAATTAAACTAGCAATAATAATAGTAATTATGTTTTGTTGCCCAACTCAGTAGCTCCACTTTTGCTAAAAAAAAAGAAAAGAAGAAATACTAGCTGACCTTAAAAGGGAACTGTTACCTTCTATACGTCAGTTTAATTAAAATATTTTAAAATAATATAGCAGCAAGGTTCACTTGGTCTAAAGCACTTATAACTGTAAGGCTGTTTTTTCATTACAGGGTTATAGTTAATCAGCAATGATTAGTGCATTTTAAACCTCAGTGAAACTACCACGCATACGGTAAAGTGTAAACCTCCAATTTACTGTACATCCAAGTTGAGATGATGTTTCAGTTTTTGCGTAGCACCACAATGCTGTCATTTGTCTGTGATTCAGAACGAGGCGACAAAACTTCTGATGACACAAAAGTAGCCCTATTACATTGTAAAAGTGCTTTGGGATGGGGATGTGATGAATGCCGTCGAGTCACGTATCGACTCATGGACAGTTCCCCCGTCACTATCCATAGAGTTTTCATGGCAAGATACGGAAGTAGATTGCCAGGCCTTTCTTCTGCGTGGACAGGGCGAGTATTGTTCCCGTTGTCACAGAAATGTGATCCTCCACCGCCAACAGTGCCCCATACTGCTGCTGCCCAGTCTGGGTTATTAGAGAACCTGGCGCCCGACGTGGGACACGAACCTACTACCCTGAGATTATGAGTCTTATGCTTTAGCAACTGAGGTAGTCGGGGCATAAAAGTGCTTTAGACTAAGTGAATTTTGCTACCATATTAATTTAAAATGTTTTCATGAAACTGACACTTACAAGATGACATGTTTTTAGATACTGTAGATAAAGTATTGCAAAAAAAAAATAGCAACCTGCCAACCAACTAAAATACCCTCATATACATTTCAGTTTTACAAAAGTGCTCTATCATTTACATTTTTGGTTATTTTACGGTAAGTAAAAAATCTAAACATCTAAAAGAAAAATTCCAGCAGGACTTACATTATTGCAGTCCTTGCTGTGCCATAGCCTGTACTGCTGCCTAAACAGCTGATTTGAATAAGTGCAATTGAATTGAATTCAACATAGACTTCAGGATGTTTTTTCCGACAAATATCTGCTTGTTTGTCGTACTTATTCGATTGTACGTGATAGTGAACCTGGGATCAACATCAGTGCCAACTGGATATCCCTTAGAAAAGGAAATGGTCTTATTTTCTGCTGATCTGATTCTCTGTTCTGTGCGTGTCCACTATGTTTTGAACAGCCAAATGCTAGACAGTGAGGCATCGTTTAAAACATAAACAGTTGGAAGAAAAAGTCTGCGATGTGTTCAATATTGACAAGAAGGAGTACAATTGTTTGTGTGTTATTAGTTTAAGCAGATGGTGTTTGTCTATTATTGTGACTTGTTGAAGATCAGACCACATTTTTATGAGTAATGCAGAAATCCAGGTAATTCCAAGGGGATCATAAACTTTTTCTTGCAACTGTACACAAGTTCAAAACCATAAAAAAAACGATTAATGTGTCGAGAGACCATGTTTCCCGTTTGTTTACAGCGACCACTGAGCAGGAAGAGCGGCATTTACATCCCAATCCGCAAGAACTCTCACTCTCACCCGTTTCTCATCTGCATGCGACAGCACGGCAAACCATACAGTACTTTCACAAGGTTCACGATTTTGCACCCGATTTGAAAATCTGTAAAAATCGTGATGAATTTGTGATGAAGAGCTCTAATAACCAGTCTGAGAAATTGAGACAGCAGTTCCCCCTTTAAAGTGCTGTTTCTCTAAAACGATAGGAACATTTCTCTCAGTCAATAGCAGGACAGATAAAGACCTGCCTTAGCTATTCACTCACTCTTCCACCCATCTCACCATTTGTAATGGGGCTACAAAATGACATTCTTTTCGCAGGGCCTGAGGCTAGACTGAGAGTGACGGTCAGCAGACTTCTGCAGCGGGGATGTACAGTACCAGCACTCTTGTCCAGGAAGTAGGCCAGCAGGCAGCGCATGACAGCCTGGTGGCAGATGACCATCACGTTTCCCTGTCGCTCCAGTTCCATGATGACCGGCTCTAGGCGCTGGACCAGGTCCTGGTACGACTGTGGAAAGAGGAAACTCACCTATGCGCTGGCTGCACATCTTGTGGAAGCCCAGAGGGCCTTTTCAGTCAACTACGTCAGGTGTAAATTTACCTCACCACTGATCCTGGCTTACATACTATAGGGGTGCAGCTCTGCTCTGCCCCTGCTGAGATTCAATCAGCAGAGCCACACTGCACTACACCCTCAACAGTGGCAAACTCTCCTACAACAAAGGACTGGGTCTTTTACCTTTCTAGGCCTCTCTCTCCCCCCCTCCTACACCTCTGCAGCAGGAGAATTCTGGACTGAGATACTGAGCTGTGTTACACCCACACATCATGCTTATTATTCGGAATGACTAATAGCAAACTGGATATGTGTGGGGCAGAATGTCAGCAAAATTTGCTTGGCTCAGTACAAATGTATTCTGCTAATATTAAGCCAATCTAGGAGCTATTTTTATGCAGACACTGGTGGACAGTTTTCCCCAAAGACGAAGCCCTCTAGGGAGGTCCCTCAAACAACATTTTGGCTTTCCAGAGTGGGTCACTGCCTTCCAACTGCCTACTGTCGCTCCATCTCTGACTCTTGCATTTTTAACCTTTAAATTTTAAAAGCTGTAACAATTTTGCATAACATGCAAAATGCATAACCATAATTTTCTAATTACAGTTTGGATTCACGTTTGGCTTTTATAGATGAAGCGATTCAAGTAAATGGGGCATCTTGCTCTTCTTTGGTGATTTCTGCAAAGAACTCGTTTAAACTGAAAGAACACAAGATTTGGATAAACACCTACTAAAAGGTTGATGAGGGCTTTTTATTTTAGGCACTTCACCTCCCAGGGTCCTGGAGATTGTGCTGGAGAAGTATTGTTACATAAAGGTATCCAATTCTTTGCCATACCTCTCCTCCAGGGTAGCGATAGTGGTACTTGTCCTGGTCCCTGAGGGCAAATTCCTCTGGGTACGTGTCCTGGATCATCTTGTAGGTCATCTCTTCACACACCCCCTGAGTAGGAGACACACAAAGGGTCCCTTCCAATCTCCCACATAACAGCAGTGCATTGTTTAATGCCAAGTGACAGATATGTCAAAAAAAATCCCCATTTAACGATAAGCATGGATATCAAATTACCCCCTTCCATCCCCCTAAAAAGATGAAACATTTGCCTATGCTGCTCTTCAGGATAAAAAAAACGTCTGTTTTGTTGTTCCTTAAAATCACAAAGATTCCAAGTCATACAGATGAATTCCAGATGCTGTTTTTTTTACAGTCACGCTCACGTCTTCCAACAGGCTAGGACTGAGCGCCCTGGGGCATCCTTCCAAGGTCTTCAAAACTATTTGCAGCTTCTTTAATTTACTACAAAATCTGTCCTTGTGAAAGCAGACGCTTTTTTATATCTTTGACACCTATGAATCTACAGTTGGCCCTTCAGGTTTGTAGTACAACTTGAGAGCACCGGTGGTTGGGAGCGAGCTGTGCGTTACTCATCCTCAAGTCGATCTCTGAGAGGGGGTTAACAGGCGAGTGGTCCGGGGTGTAACTGCTGTGACTAGACAGAGAATTGTGGGAGAAGCAGGAATCCTCCCCCAGCTTCCCTCTGATTAACACTGCCCCTCATCTCAAGCCAGACCAGAAACCAAATTATTACTCCAGGTCAAAGTGTTAGAGCTAAAAGCTCACTCAAGCCTAACATATATTATAGGCTAGAAAACAATATTAACCATTCTTTAAAAATCGAAATATATTGTGAGCAAACATCAATGGCATAGAATTAATTTTACATTGGAGGTAAATTCGTTTCCCTTATGCTACCAAATTAATTCCAAGACTTCCTCCATTTTAGCCTTTGGCACCCTCTTGTGTTTTGTGGTGGTACTGCTGGGATTGACACATTCCCTCTTATTACTTTTGCTTCATATTGCTCCTTTCTAAAAGCGCCGTCTTTCGGAGCACAGGTATATACTGGCAAACACCATGCGTCTAATCAATGATGCTTGCAGGGTTATCTAAAGCAGATAATGCGAATTCCTTGTTCAGAACCCTGAGCATGTCCAAGCTGCTCACTCACTGCGTCAATCTCGTTGAGGATCTTCCACTGCTCGTACGGCACACCCAGCTCCTCCGCAGTCTGGATAGTTCTTCGCAGCTGGCTGGTCCACACTTTCAGGTCCGACAGCTTCTGCTCCTCGATGAACTCCCGCAGCGCTTTGGCAAACTGAGAAAGAGGAAACGGTTAGCACATAAAACAGAGGAGCCGAGTTTCTGGAGCAAAACCTACAGGAAAAGACAAGGCATGACATAGTCGAATGCTCAGGAAGCAAACTGCATACAACAGTGACATTGAAACACTGGAAACTTAATTATTTAGCTAATTGTATAATTCATAGATGGGCGGAGCGGTGGCACCGTGGCTAAAGATCTGCGCCTGTGGCTGGAAGGCCCTTAACCCCAGCTGTGTACAATGGCAGACCCTGCGCTCTGACCCCAAGTTTCTCTCCCTGTCTGTGTGCGAAAAGACCAATTCCTAATGCAAACAAATGTATTTTTTTTGCATTAGGAATTGGTCATGTGTAATAAGAATTGTAAATGGGTAATAAAGTTATCTTAATCTTATCTTAAATCATTAACGCTCTGAACAACACTGCACCACCTTATTTACCAATGTAACAAAATGCTTCATTCAGATGAGCTATTTACTTCATTTGAAAAATGAAAATCCATTTCACTTTCTATTACATTATATTTATGGCTTAAAGATGACCGATTCAATTGAAGTAAACAGACCTCAGCTACGCTGTAGCAAATGTTAACAGTACAGGGCACTTGTAGAAGCGTATTTTAATCACAGTTTCCATTCTTCTGCACGGTTCGACTCGAACCCGTTAAAACAGATGTGCGCAGCTTACTGGGCTGCTGTGAAATTTCATGGTGGAGATTAATCCTCACGGTCCCGTTTGCCTGGTAGTGCCGCTGCCTCTCCAGCGGTCTCACCTGCCTGCCCCCGGCTGACAGCTCGGAGTCGCCCCCGATGCGGCCCTGCATGTTGTGGTCCGTCTCCCCGTGCCGGCACAGGTAGATGGTGCGCTGGTGCACGTGGATGTTCATGAGGTAGTAGACGATTTTGCTCTGGATGTAGTCCTGCACTCTGTTTACTAAGAAGCGGCGTCCGACATTTATCACTTTAATGAAGGACAGGTCTCTGATGATAAATACACAGACACCAACCAGTAATTAGCAACGAAAATTAAAGTAAGAAAATGCACGATGGGGCAGAGGGAAAAATGTTGATTTCAACTCTGAGGAACAAGAAAGGTGTATTTGGATTTCTAATCTTCAAGCATCTCCTCCCCAGTGGTTTATGGCTGTAACGGAGCTTACTGAGAGTGCAGGAACGCTTATACTATGTCTCCCTCTAGTGGCAATATTTGTATGAATCAGTTCACTACGCAATTAATCAAGACCTTCCGGTTCCCCTGGTTGTCCAGAGCTGAAGATGTAGTCTGGTTTTAATTCCTATAGTGCTCTTAATTACCGAGGTTTATGAAACCTGTAATTCTAGGATAGGATTGCATTTAAATAGTTTAGGCTCTTAAACAGAAGAATAAGGTTTGAAATTAGCACAAATGCTGGGTTGTATTGTGTTGCATGTTGAGTCTTAGAACTGTTCTTAGGATTACCGTTTCAATGTCTGAGTAGAAACAAACCAAATGTATGGATATTGTGGGAGTATTTGAAACAGTGTCATTCTTCTGTTTGTACTCTAATAACAAGGCACAGATTTGTTTAGAAAGGAGTACAGAGATAATTCTAATCCATTAAAAGGACAGACTAAACATTTCTGTTTGCTGATGTGTCAGTAACACATTTTGCACACAATTTCTTACCGACATGAAGAAATGAAAACATAAAAGATAAAATAATTATTAAATGACATGTTAAATGAGAGAGAATAATTAAGGGTGGTTTAAATTAAAACAGAAGACAGTGGGTTCTCTAGAAAGTATCATATATACTGTAAACACAAGTGCCATGTTAATATACAATACCTTATTCTGGTAGGCAGAGAGGTACAAATATACCAGAGTGCAATTTGAGGAAAATGAATTATTTACTGTATAATAAAGGATAATAAAGCAAGAATGACTCATTAAAAACTTCTCATCTGTATTAACTTACTTGTCATATTCATCTGGATCCAAAGGCTGGTATGTAACTTCATAGCACTCGATTCTCTTCAGGAAATCATCCATTACGCACTCCCTGTGTCTTTCTGGGTAGTCTGGACTGGACACCTTCACCTCCTGTTGATGAAAAAGAATAAGAGAACAATTTGAATAAGAGGAACAACTTCAGAACAAAATTCAATTTGATGAAACCAGGTTGGTGTCCACTGATAATTGGGTATCAGTACACAGGGGCTCACATTGCACAGAATAAATTGCATCCATGGTAGACATGTTGTCAAAAAACAGAAAGCGATACAAAAAGGCTGTGTTTAAGAACAAGGAAATCACACATGCAGAATAAAACATATATGACACATATACAGACTATTTTATTCACCAGCTGGTGAATAATTAAAAAAACAGCAAATGATCAAGTTTGCTCCGATTAAGAGTGGGGAAGCAATTGATCTCAGTTTTTGTATAACGACAATTGCTTTGTAGAGAACCTACCAAAATGTTAGCAGCAATGACATCTGGATCATCACAGACTGACTCCACAAAAAACACCTGAAAGAAAAAAAGCCCACTCTGCATTTGTTATAGTACATTACTTCCAACAGGATTAGGGATTACTAACTGATCCAGTACAGCTCTTTACTGTACAAGTGCTAGACGGTTGTTAGAGATATGTGCAAGTTCCAAATATAGCATGTTGAAAGCACAGGCTGCAGTAAAATAAAGAAAAAAAGGCAAAAATATAGCAAAAACATAATGTGAAAAAGGAAAGTACCCGATAAATATATTGTAAAACCTTAAGAAAAAAAAACTGGGAAAACAAAAATAGGTGGAATTTTATGTTTGAACTGTTCCCTGGTTACAGCTGCCCGAGTCTTGCACAACCACAGCTTGCAGCACCAGATGTGCATATCATGAAGGATTTCTGTGCAAGACAAGACTGGAAACTCTCGCCTCAGCGTTTACCTTGTACGCGTTTTGTTTCACAAAACCGAGGATGAGATCTCTTCTTTCCCTGGTTGTGTTTGTGGCATCAAACACCTAAAGGAAATGAAATTTCCTTTATATTTCACATCAGGTAAATAAAGAGCACAGTGTTGTGTATTTATGGTAAATTTTACAGTTTGGGGGTAGCACTCAATAGCAGCAGAAATGAAAGACCTTGATGCTTCTCTAAAGCATGTGAAAGTCATGGATAGAATGACACTCTTCCTAAATTCCCTAATCCTGTGCTTAAGGCTTTGTGATGTGGGATATATTCTCTCGGTCCTACAGTACTGGATCCCTGGTGCTCACAGATGAATGGTTCTGAGCTTAACGGTGTGTTTGTTGTGGGCTGAGATGTCTTACCGCAATCTGTCCTCCTTCCTCGTTTAAATATGACTTAACATCCTGAAGAGCTACCAAGGCACACTGCCTGTGATGAAGAAGGAAAAGCTGTTATTTGATGCAACCAGTGACCGTTATTAGAGTCAAACCTTTTCCTCAATGCAGTCACTCATTACACAACTAGCTGTCTGAAAATAATTATTTTAAAAGGTAATTTGACCCTCAAGCATTTGTCACAACTTTGTGCAATTCACCTCTAAAGTTAAGGGTAGCAGACATGAAGTATTAGGGTAGAAATAAAATCAGATAGTGAAATGATCTTTGATTTCTGAACAAAAGTACTTTGGCCATCATGGATGAAATGTTTTACCAGCCAGTTTGACTCCTTTACTTGAGTGCAAACGAATTATACGATAGTCAATACCACCTGACATCTCCAGTCATTATATTATAACAGTAGTTAAAATCTAGCACCCCTACCACCTTCAGCATTCTGTATAAAATCACTTATCACTTTGCTTACATACAGTGACATAACCAATATTGTTTTTCTTTGAAGAGAAGGAATAGTTTTTTTCTGTATAAGCAGGAACATATACAAATGTTTCTGTTGAACGTCTAGTTCACACTCTAACCCTGTGAGAAAAAATAATATTTTGTTTTTGTACAGTACAAATCCAATGCTTTGCAATAATATGCATTGGATGACTTCACTCAAAAAAATGAATTGTACACATTTTCCCTAAAATTTAAATCAATATTATGTCATGGGCATGAAGGAAAATGGATAGAAGAAATATAGTCAAGGCACAGAGTGAGAAGGTGAGAAGGTCATCTGAATTATTGAGCCAGTAACCTTATATTAGCACCCCTGTAGTGACGGGAGCAGTTTTTTTATAGGTCAGTGTTCTGCTGAGGAATCCAGAACTGCATGAGTGAATCTGCACCTCGCAGAACTGCAGTCTTGAATCCTGCATCACCGGAAGATAAACAACACTGTCCTCGAGTGGCAGGACTATGTGTTTAAATGCCTTTTCTTGGAGAGTTTTATATATAAATATACACTGTAACACGGCACACTTGAAGGAAAGTGAAAAGATCTTTCACCTACTTTCTAATTTTCATGGCCTCCCGGTTGTCGTGTCTGAAGAAATCATAAGACTTGTAGGCCTTGACAGCCTCTCTCCGATACACTCCCAGGTTAAACACTGCAGTGGGAAGACAGCAATGGTAGTGTGTACTCAGATTATGAATGAAAGAAGCATGATGTCCAGACTGCTACGTACTCTTGCTTTTGTTAAGTGGTTTCTTGTCGATAACCAGTGAATTCCATACCGCAACAGAGGGACATGGTGAAATTGTCTATTGGTTTCAGTTATCCACTCACCCTTGGTGGGTACGCCGATCCAGTTGAGGTAGCGCGTTAGCTTCTTGGACATGTAGGTCTTCCCCCGCGCTGGCAGGCCAATCATCACAATCACCATGGGCGAGTTGGTCATGTAGGAGGCCCATGCTGGACAGAGACAGATGGGTGAAAATCGCCAGAAGTGGAGTCCATTTCATTCTCCAACTGAGCTGTGCTTGTGAGGTAACCTTTAGAGTGCCCTGACACCATGCAGGGTAGAAACATCTGCTCCCTGCTCAGTTAGATGTATACAACACAAGACAAAATTATTGGTTCAAAGTCATCCTGTGGACTGAGGTGGCCCAGTGCAAGGGGAATGCACTGCCACCTGGACCAGTTTGCAACTAAGCAAAAACAGCAATCGTAGAGATATAAATAGCTGACACACCACAGACGTGTTACCTAAACTGTAAATTGAGTCATTAGCGCAGTAAATATGTGCACCGTTTACACAGCTTATCCACACAATTGCCAGTTCAACAGCTGCAAAACAATGCAATGGCAGTATCTCCCCAAACGCTGCTTTAATATGAAAACAGAGTAAAGCTTTTCCCACAGGTCCTCACTGATATTGCTCCTACAGGAACAGATTACAAACCATCATGAAGAGCAGAAAGGACTTCTATCCTCAGCCTCTTGCCTTTATCAGCAAGAATCAGAGTTTATTTAAAAACGTAAACCTGTATGTCCATTATTTCAGTTACTTCTCCTGGGCTGTCTGTTTGTGATCCCAGATTCAAACCTCACATCATCACATCACATAATCTAATAGTTCAAATAAAACTATTTTATTAAAGTAGGGGGTGCTAGATATATATCAAGTTGGTTGTTTTCAAGAATAGTGCTTATAGTTCTTAATAATATACATCATTTATATTTTCATAGAACAAATATGGTCCAGTAAAGTGTTCTTGGGAGAAAAACTGTATTACTGATCCTGGAAGATACTACAATGAGCCTCTTCCAATCCAGGAAAGACCTGATAAACTGTATAAATTAAGAAACAATGAATAAAAAATAAAATTAATTAAGCAATTAAGAACAAAATTGAAGCATTCGATAGTTCAGAGCCAAGATGAAAAGGACAAAGAATAACACCTACAGACACTTAATTTTCAGGTCCAGAACCATGCTTCTCTGTTCCAGAGAGCTACAAACCCATGGTGTATTACAGCACCACAAAACTCTGGTATTGTACGAGGAGGAGTTCAAGAATAAAAAAAAACTCTTAACACGATCCTTTCCAATGTACGCATCTAACTGGGACATTATCAGGACACTGAGCACCATTACCACCTCAAAAAGCAGGAAAACCAATTATTCCACTTTCATGAAAGTCTCTGACAGTATATACTGTAAGCCAACCCCAGGTACTGTTTGTTTCATGCTCTTTGCTTGATTTCACGGAGTTAAATAATGTAGCATATCTTCTTCTTCAATATTCTTCTATGAGAGTATGGAAATGACAAGGAAGTTTCTAACTGGAAAGTGCTAGAGTAAACAGAGTAGAGTAATATCGCTACACGTACTTAGACGCAGGCAGGACAGCACAGGCCAGAGGAGGCTAACCTCTCTGTCACCTCTGTCCTTGAATGACACTCTTTCCAACGCCAGCTCTGGCTCAGGAGCAGTTCACGAGTTCCCCAGGAGCCAGCCGCAGCTCCCTGCCAGTTTCCATCCTGGAAACCACACACGGCTCTGACTCAGCGCTGTGTCAGGCACGGCCAGCTCCACTGAGGCACACCAAGCACGACCGCATAGGTTAAACAGAGGCAGAAGGTGTCAGGGGAAAGGCCGCACTTTGAAGTAGTCATTATGAACTTCTGTAAAACACACCAGAGCTTGTAACACCATTACAAGGAATAATCCTGAGGTGTCAGAACAGCTTCGGTGAGGCTCTTGAAATAGCCATTCTAACAACTTCTTATACAGCATAGTAAGTTGCAGGAAAGTGGATAAATAAGATATAAAACACTTTTTCATATGTGTGGCACATCAACAATTGACCATTTTAAACAGTAGGATTTGAAGTTTAATTTATACAGTTAAATTTCCATCTTTCTAGTACTCTAACACTAGTGCAACATTTTGGCATTCATCTGGGAACATTTTTCTTTGATCGGAAAAACACTAAAGCGTATAAAAGAGTTTACGCAAGTCAATACGGATAATTAAATGTCAGTGACCATGCAGAAAATATCCCCTGTTCACTCTCCACCACTCTTGTCTTTTGTTTTGGTCACAATATGTTGGCTCCTCAAAAACACACTGTCTGTCCACAAACAGTGCCAGCGTCACTTCTGTGATAGCTCAGCGGACAGCCTCGCGGTCACCTTCGCAGTACGCTGGCCACCCAGGGGAGGTCAACAGGGCCAAGGGTGCAGTCATGAGACCTTGTGCTCTTCTTGTCTCACACGGTTGTAAATATCGTAAGGGATGATCAACTGACAGCTGTTTCAAAAGAGGCAAACTGTACTGTATATATTTATAGGCTTCCTTCTGTGTCCACGCTCTTTCCCTAATTAGTTCTTTGCCGCTACGTGAAACTTATTTGCCTACAATTTCAGATTTGTAAAATGAGCAATTCTCAACTAAATGAAAAACAAGAAAAAAAAGTAATCAATGTTTTCAGAAAATTATGCCAACACTGGCTACAAGCACACCTTGCCCCTTTCTGTCTCTTAAACAACTTGTGTATCTCCCAAAGACGGATACAAGATAAATTGCTTGCATGTGGTTAAATAAGGGCCAGAATTCACATCCAAAAACACACAGGTTCATTTACACAAATTTACTGTAAAGCATAACAAAGCGGACAGTCTAATTACTGGAGGTCACAGGAAACAGGTGGACAATAAATATTAAAAAGAGCTTGAGGTAGCAAAGAACTGCTTTGAGCCGCTCTCTGAGTACAAGTTTTGCAATCAGATTAGCCTAGTGCAGTATACAGATTCTGGACCCAACTGTAAACCACAAAAACAAACTGATATTGCAAACAGCTGGTTAAAGTAAAACTCACTTAAACAAAAGGGCAAATAATCAACAAACATAATCTCTACTGAACAATGCTCAGATCTTTAGTTTAAAATTGTGAAGGATTCCTATCTTCCTTAAAAAAAAAAACCCTGAGTGGAAAACCGTAGGCTGGACAAGTTGTTTGAGCGCAAACCTACCTTCTGCTTATCTTTGCTTAAATTCCAGGGACGGTTTGATTGAATTGCTTTAGGAACTTTATAAAAAAAGTGAGTGCTGAAGAGAATTTAAAGAATGCAATACAAGCCCAAACTCCACATCTATAAAGATAATGATTACAACACTCCCATGTATCAGTTAGGAGTCCCAAATACTCAATGCTTATTGAGTTTAATGTGTCAGCTATCTACAGTATGTCTGTCAGGGGCATGATAACCACCACAGCAGCACAAAAATGCCCCTGGACAGGTCGGAGCCAATTGTGGTTTTATATTAAAAGTAACTGGTAACTCATCACAAATGGAGCCATGATCAGTGAGGAACAAAACCTGAAGCAGCCAGAACATCCAGCATTCTCCTTTGGGTTTGTATCCATAATCAGAGATCACCCTTAAATCTGCACCTTATTTTTGCAGCTTTCTTGTGCTCACGCCATGCATTTACTTTGGTAAATGTACACAATCCCTTCCCCTCTTTACACTTTGATTACAATTTCTCAGATTTCCTACATTTTTCCATTACTTCCTACCATGGTTTCACACACCTGACTTTCCTAAAGGCTCTCCTCAAAGGTGTAAGCGTTCCCCCTCCCTGACGGGGAAGAAATCGGCCGTACTTACAGCACTTTTTGTCATTGGTTCTTAACTCCATTTTCCGGGTGTCAGAGGAGTGCGATACTGCGGCCTCTCTTTGTGGAGTGGTGGCCATGGTGCTACACAAGTGCGCTGTCCGACCACCAGAAAGTCTGACATCCAGAGGCACAGTTCTAACTCTGCTGGGCCTTCATGACTCAAGACAAACAGCGACAGCTGGGCACAGGCTTCTGCAGCATCCACAAAAAGGGTTATAGAATTAATTATGGTCATAAAAAACGCTAGAATTAAGCTGCGTTAATAAAATATAACCAAGTTAGTGCAAGTTATAACATTATGTACACTGATGCTGAGCCAACTATGTATCTTGGCATTAAAATAGAAAACTAATATACAACAAGGCCCCTGGACTTTCAGTTTTAGGTCTTTGTCTTAAACTGTATAATGTGGTTAAAAGGAAGATGAGGAAAAAAAACTGTTAATGCATCAATAGATCCTAACCATAATATGAAAAGTTTAAATCACAGCCAAATAAAATGTGATGGACATTAATATTCATTACAGGGGGTTTACAGTGCAGTATAATTAAAACAATTTCTTTTTTTTGTGTGAAAGCAAAACACTGCAGACAGTTCCAAAAACAGCTTTGACACTGAGAGAAAAAAAAACGTGACTTGACTGACATGATCTTTTTGTATTACAATGAGTACTCTGACCATCTCATAGACATACCAAATAAGTCTCCACTCCACACTTAAAATTGATAGACTTTCAGGCAGCAATCCGTCAAAGAGAAGGGTCCTGTTACATCTAGCCATCTGCAGTCAGTGCAGTCATAGCAACAGCAATAAACAATTTCCTATTAATCAGGTGATGAATAACTATCGGGCTTTAGCACAAATGTCATACTGACAATTACATATTGAAACACAAAACACTTAAATACACTGCCTACAAATCTTTTTATATCATTCCTTTGAATATTAACAGGAATGTTGATAATAATTGCCCTCCATTCAGTAACCCCCCAAAACAGACTGATGTAAACGGATACCTGGTACGCAATTATTTCGCTTGCAGGAGGTTATGTTCTTTTACGGATCTTCTCCCCCCTGTGAGAAAGACAGAGGCAAACCTCCACTTTTGACGTACAGTCTGCTGTCGGTGCTTCTGTGTGAGGCAGCGGACAAGAGGAAAGATCCGGGTATAAAGAACGGGCAATGCGGCTACTACAGCAGGTAAGCAAATTCTTCGCCAGTGCCGCAGACGACCTTCCTAATGTACACCGGGTACATGAATGAAGGTGTGTCCCTACGTCACAATCTGTCTACCGTAACTCTCAGAGTACTAGGACTCCAAATACTGCGCATTACGTAAGCTTGGCTGAGAAATCTTGCATGAGCTGTATTTGAAATGACGCTCGTTCTGTACTTGCATATTTTATTTAACGGAATCATACGTAACCCAATCCACTTTAATACTGTCTTGTGTATTGTTGTGATGTTACAGTGTATCATTACAAGTATGTTGCTTTTGCATTATACATTTTAAAAATTACATTTAGTCAATGGGCGTACCAGTCGAATGGTTTCTATATTGGAAATTCTAGTTCTCAATAACTTGAAAGTATGGTAATTGTTTTGTGAATGCGCGGGGAACACCAAAAAGTAAGTTGTTTAAATTGTTTTAAACTATTATTTTAGGCAGTACGGTACGGACAGATAATAACACAGATGCTTTGTTTTTAATATTATCGTTCCTATTGCATTTTAGCGTGTTATTACGGCATCAAAAGATTAAGAAAGGTTAAGCAACACATCAGCAATTCCTTACCCACGATATGGGGTAATGCACCCATGAGAAACTAACAGGCATGTTGCCCTGTGGAGGCTTACACTATTTTCTCAACTGATGCTTTTAAAGAGAACCAGGCTGCTAACTGGATTTCTCCCAGATTTGCACTGTGAGAACCAATCGGATGCTCTCCCCAGCCGACTGGGTCTCAATAAGATCTTCGCTAACTGCGGCTCCTTTAAAAGCCAGTATGATGCAACCCAACCGGCCGCTTACTACAGTATTCGATAACATTTCTCTTGGCACGTTTGAGACTACTAAAACTGGAATAATAAAAAATGCTGAAAGCGCATTTCCCCCAATTTGGTTGTGCTCGCAGCTATAAATAGACGGTGCATCTTCATCTGTTTTCCTTGATGAAAGATTCCGCGTCCACTGTATACAGTATGTCCCCAGTGCAGTTTCAAAGAACAGATCCAAATACAAACAGAAAGCGCTGCACCCAAAGAGCATACAACAGGGAATCCCTCCATCTCGTAATTTCTTCTTTAAACCCTGTGCCATGTCCTGACTCACGGATCGACTGGAAAATCCTCTTTGGTACTGAAGACTTAACTGTGCTGCTTTTATCTAATATTTTCCGATAAAACATTAGAATATATCGCAATGCAAAGATAACTTTACTACGACCAAATAATACTTGTGCTTAGCTAGACAATAAAACCAGGAGAGTTGACCGTCTTTACAACTTCACTCAGCACAGGCGCTAGAATCGCAGTTAACCGAAACTCTTACTTGCTAAAATAATAGGACACGTTGAATTAATGTGCGTTAAAATCTGATTCATAATCTGATGTCTTATTGAATTGATTTATTGTGAAGACTTTTAAGTATTGATGTGGTGGCATAAATGAACTGCAAAAACACTATTAGCCCTGTGTCTGCAAAGCGTACAAGGCTGGGTCTCTAGTGACATCTGCTGGACATTATAGGGTAGTGTTAACAGTGTATCGACTGTATTTTGCAACACTTTTTGACCACGAAATCATTAGAGACGGGAAAGCCATGTTTTTCATGAACTGATGAAGAAAAGAGCTTTCAATCAGAGTGAGAAACTCAATAACACAATAAATGGGGCGAAATAATGTTGTTGCAGCAATATCTTAGTGTGCTAATGCTTCTGACAGTCTAATACAAACAACTGGCTTTTATGCCCTTTGTACGCTATTAACACAATTAAGACGGCAGTCTGAAGTGTCACACACTCACATCTTAATGCAACCAGACAGTTATTATTCACTACCTTATTCAACAAGAAATTCTTTGTATGCATATAAATATTATTTATAGCACTTCTCATCTTGAAGGATCCCAAAGTATTATAAGATGGGACCAACTCCATCCACTAGTGCTCCACAGATCCCAGCTGGGTAATGTGCAGATTCCACTTGACACAGAAATTAAAGTGAATTAAGGGGGGCAATTTAGGGAGGGGTGCTCTCGTGAACAGTTCCATTGCATCTTCATTAAACAAATAATTCAGGATCTAAGTCCATCATCTCGCGTAAAGGATGGCTCCGTCTGCAGCCCTGTATCACTTCGTCACTATTATTAGAGTCCTAGTTCAGAAATTCTGGTTCAAGAGTCCAGAGCGCCACTAACTGGTTCACCATCACCAAGCACAGTCAGCTTCACATTTAGTGAAATGCCACATAAAATCCGTCATTTCAAAGGCACTATTTTGTCTCTTTTTCTTATTTTAAGAATTATGAAATTTCCTACTTACAGGTACTGACAGCTGAAAAAAACGTCTTTCTAGACAGCG